ATGTTTTGTGTGGTTTTATTCCAGGAAGTCTGGACAACGAAGATGATGGCAAGTCCCAGCAGAACCTGTTTAGAGTATTTAAAGCTCACCTTACGGTTAGCATGAGCACTTCCTGTAAGGAGGTGTATGCAAAAACCACCATCAAGGATAAAGGGCTTTCAATGTTGGGTCAAAATCACCACTTCTGTATACTTAAATATAGATACATATGTATATTTTGAATTCATTTACTTTTATACATACACCCTCCTCTTCCTCTCTGAGTCGTCCTCCATCTTGAGCATCTTCAGGATGAAGGATTTGTTGCTTTGCTTTGCAGCAAAGCTTGTTATAAACAAGTAGAACTAAACTATTCTGAACTGGGTTACAATGATCAGAAATACGCATAATTACCTTTGCTGCTAACTCACACTATTTAAATAAAGTGGACTGAGTTGAAGTGAGGGCAGGGGATTTATAAGTAGATTTTTCTTACACTTTAAAGGTGAGAAAAGGGCAGAGTTCTGCATTTTCTCTCACCAAACACAAGTGTTCTCACCTAAAGTCTGAACTTTGCATTCAGCCGGTTTGACCTGGTGAGGTTTGGTATCTGTCCCTTTGTTTGGTTTATAATAAGAACACACTTTAAATTGAATCTGCAGTTTATTGCTCTTTACAGAAAATCTTCTTTCCTCTGCAGTTTTTGTCACACTGCAGGAAGTGGCAGATACTGACAGTTCTTTTAAACACTTCCTCATTCAGGAAATTTCTTTGTTTTCGATGAGCCCGTCTCATCGTTTCTGTGAGCTTTTCGAAAACGAACTTGTATCTGTAAACATTTTAAAGTGGATTCTTCCTAATGTCCAGCCCACTAAAGCCTGAGCCATCACGACATGGTGCAGCATGCTTACCTCTCCGGTGATACACTGATTTTTTCTGTATTTTAAAAACACTAACATACACATAAGTCCCAAAGTGAGAGGCCTGTTTGTGCTTTTCTTCATTTAATTTGAAGGAAATTTCGTCCGGCTGCTGGACGAAAATGTTTGAGGACATTTTTCACCTTTTTTGTATTTTTTAGAAGGACATAACATATGACCACATCCATAATATCTCCTTTGGATGACTCAGGAGCCGGTGGTCAGACGGGTTTACTGTCAGATTCTGCTGATTCATCTTCATCCTTGTACACTTTGGTGTGAGATCATTGTGCACACCTTAGCATGAAGTCACTGGTAAAATCCCCCAAATAGTCAAACACATACCTGGAATCTTGCATTAGGAGCCCGTAGAGTAGAGCTATTTTAAAGATTAAAGTAGATTAAAACACAAATAGAGACAGAAAGTGTGAGCTTTTTTCTGCTTTCAGCCCACAAACACTTAGAAACACAATAACCTGTTCGGGATAACAGCACATAATTAACATAACCAACTTATATGTGACGGTTTTGACCAGCTTGATAGTGTGTTGGCAGATCTAAACTTTTGGCAAAGGCAGGTTAAAAAAATTAAGAATACAAATAACTTATCTGGGAATCAAAGAGAAGATTCAGTGCAGTCTGCTGGTTTCCTCATAAAGTAACTTGTTTTTATTGACTCTAGTGAATTGGATGTATTTAAGATGAATAAACTAGCACTGATTGGATTTAGAGTGATTTCCAGTGAATTGGATCAGAATTGGCTTGACAGGGACAGTATTTTGGATTTGAATTGATCTGAATATGTTTTTTAATCAACCATGGTTGGACTTGTTCTTTACAGTAACTTTTCCTTCCTCTTGTCGGACTTTCTGTTTCTTCCTGATTGTGAAATTAGATTAAATTCCATCTATTTATCAAGTATGTAAAAGCACAAACACACTTGTTGCTCCTCCTCTTTGCACAGTTGCAGTCATTTATTTTTTTCCTTGTAAGTCCTTCATATGTAATTCATGTTGATGTACACATAAATGTTCAAAGCTGAGCTCAAACTTTTCCAGCAACATGAGCTCGACACTATTCAGAGGTCACTGATAACAATCCTGTGATTTTTAAGCCCACATTATTCCCCGAACATGAGCAGCAATCTGCAGGTTTCTGTATGGTAAACATTGTCGGATGGATGTGGGGTTATGTAAGAGTGGATCTGCCGTATTTAAAGCACTTTTGTGGCAGATTTGAAGCCAATTTTAAAACAATGTGGAGCTATTTTTAGCACAGAATCTCCAGCAACTTAATCCTGACTTTGGTTAAAGGTTACTGTGTGTTTTTATTATCTAGTTTTATGTTAGGAGATTTTTTTATTTAAAAATTCCAACAAATCTAGCTAATTTCCTCTGGTGTTTGTTCCCCTCATCCAGCAAACAGAGATGTTTTAAAGGATCCATTTTTGGAGATATTTAGAATTTTATTTTAATGCTTCCTTTGGACCGTGCTCCCAAAAGGTCCACCTGTCCTTGATTCCTGCAGGTACTTGGTTACATCCAAGCAAACCAAAACACATTTACCTCAAATGTGAAATGATTTCATGTGCCATTAAAGCTTGTGTTAGTTTAAAGCTGGTTAAACCGGTTTGTGACTGAATACATCTGAAAGCATTTTTCCACTTTTAAATGAAGATGCTGCTGAAATGCAGTAAAACTGCGCTTCTTCTTACATTTTCGTGACATTTAAAGTTTGCTTTATTCTAACTGATTGTTTAGGTTATTTATTTGCTGACTGTGTGAGAGAAAAGGAGCATTTCCTGCTTCACATGGGCAGCAGAGTCACCTACTCTGGGAACTTGGAAGTTAATAAAAACCAGCAGCACAACTACATGTAAATAGTCTGAACTTGAAATAAAATCTTTAATCATTGGGTGGGGCTACAAAGCTCCTGAATATCCACATTTCCCCAAGGCGATAAAAAACTGGCCTGTTGTTCAGTTTCTGTCAAAGCTGAACCCTCATCTAAGAAGTAGCACCCTCTAGTGGTCATGCTGAGACACTAGGCTTCTAAAACTTCCAGAGTTGTGTTTTCATATTATGTATACTGTGTTGATTCATTTCATCTTTAAAAGCTGTAATACTGATTAAAACTAACTTAAAGTTAACGTATGTATATTTGTGTTTACTTACTAACTTACTGTACTGGTGTATAATTCATAAAAGTGCTCCTCTCTCTACCTTAATTTACAAAAACATTATGAGAATCCATCACTGAACAACAATCATTAAACTCAATTTACACAAACAATATTTCAAACACTGTACAAATAAAACTGTGAAATAAAAACTTTATTGTATCATGCCAGTACAATAGAGTGACTTAAAAATGTAGATATATGCAGATATATATGTCTTCCTCTGATATTTTCATAGTTTTAAGAAAAGCTGTTGATGATTTTGATTAAGTTCAATAAGAAGTAATTTTTTACTGTTTAAAAAGTCAAATGAATAAGAACAAGTTTGAATAAAACAATTTATCTGTCTCCGTGTTTTAATTGACTTATTAGCACATAGATACAATATCCCAACAAGCATTTTGGCCCCATAGTGGATCAAAAGGACAAAATCATATTTAAAAAATGTAATACAGCAAACACTTGGAGAGTTCAACTGGGTATAAAAATCTTATATATGATGCATCTATTATATTATTGCACATAGAGAAATATCTATTTTAGAAAATACAATTTTACATACTGAATGATTTGAGACCAGAAACAAGC